GAGAGAGAGAGAGAGAGAGAGAGAGAGAGAGAGAGAGAGAGAGATCCCTACCCAGCCACCAAACCCCAGGAAGAGTTTTCACTATTCCTTTCAGAATACAAGATTCAGGTTGCGAACTTAGATTAGGAATGGTCAGATCTCATTGTGAAAGACAAAGAGGAAAGGAGAAGACGGCCATTCCACTAGAGATCTGCTTTCTTGTGTTTAAACCAGTTTAGAGTCCAGATTCAAAGAGCTCCACATGCGCACCTGCTCTTTAAAGCATCTACAAAGAAAGTGGTTGTCATAAAGGTGTGGGTGTGATTTAATAGGCTTCCAGAGAACAGCTTAAAATCACACACACACACACACACACACACACACACACACACACACACACCAGTAGGGTCCTTCTGACTGCCTCTTTGATGATCAAGGGAAATCGTTCTATAGGTATGTGACCCTTTGCCAGCTGAGTCATCGGCAAAACGTCAGTTGGCCTCACAGGTGTATTTACAACATTGATGGTAGCTGGTCAAGTGCTGATGATGTCACTCATCTTTCAGGGATACAACTCGCCTCAGGAGTATATCGCCACACAGGGGCCACTGCCGGAAACTAGAAACGATTTCTGGAAGATGGTCCTACAACAGAAGTCTCAGATAATTGTCATGCTTACTCAGTGCAACGAGAAAAGGAGGGTGTGTACCCAGCAGGGCGGGGCTATGTCACTCTAAACCAATCCTGTCCCACTTCCTGCCAATCCTGTCCCACTTCCCGCTGCGTTTGCATTGCTTTAATCCTCACCACGGGGCTACTGGGCTTCTTTGTTTTAAAAGATGATGTTATTTTGCTCCAGGTGAAATGTGACCATTACTGGCCATTCACAGAAGAACCGGTTGCTTATGGGGACATTACCGTGGAAGTGATCTCTGAGGAAGAGCAGGAAGACTGGGCCAGTAGACACTTCCGGATCAATTATGTAAGTCGCCCAGCGAGAATGTGGAGTTAGTCTCCAGTTCTGCACCTCCTCCACTACCTCCCCACCCAAGGGCATGGAGACCAGGTCACCACTCTATGAGACTAAGCACTTCTGGCTCTGCCATGCTGTTTCCTGAAAGAGGAAAAAAAAAAAAAGCCACTTTTAGTGAAGCTGTTTCCCATTTTTATCAAGAATAGAATCAATGACCTGTTGTCTGGAAAGCCAGAGGTGATAAAGAAAATCTGCACTGGTCCATCTCAACTTAGCACAGGGCTATAGAAGGTTCAGTCAGTATTGCTAACCAACCGTGACGGCTGGGGGCCCGGGCGGGGAGGGGGCGGGGATTCTTGTTACTTCCATTAATCAAATATGAGTATCCATGGGGTATGCATTTCCAATCAAACACTTAATTCATGACTTACTAATTTTGCTCCATTTGTTTTTCCTTATTTTGTTCTTGTTTTAATTTCAGTTTTCAGAAGGCATGCTTAGACAGGATTAATCATAGTTCCCTAACTCCCTTGAAGTTTTACTGGTATCTGAATGTTAGAATTTCCCAAAAAACATGTGTCTTTCTTGTACTGCCTGCTGTCTCTCTGAAGATAAGTCTTTGAACACAGCCTGTTACCGTGTCCAGCTCCAGTGCTCAACTCACTTCAGCAGAAGTCACCGTTTGCTTTCTGTTAACAAACATCTCATAGGCTGCTTTTCACGAGCATAGTCCCCATAGAAAGGCCTGTCTGATGAGGAGTAAACTTAATTGGAAAGTCCTAATCGAGTTGTCCTTCCCCATGTAGAACAGCCCTTCCTAGTGGTACAGATCAGGAGAGGGAAAATAGCCAGCTGTGGACCCCTGCCTGTTTCGTAAAGCCCATGAGCCAAGGAAGGTTTCTCCACTTTTAAACAGCTGAAGGATTGGAGATGTGGCTTCGTGGCCTACCGCTCAGCTGGCCCTGAGATTCACCCTGAGCACTTCACACATTCACAAGAATAAGGTGAAATGATTGGAAAAATTGGAAACATTATTTGCTTTTTAAAAATGTGTATGTGTGTGACAGTATGAGTTTATGTGCATCATATGCATGCAGGGACTTCAGAGGCAGGGGGCATCAGATTCTCTGGAACTGGAGTTACAGGCAGTTGTGAGCTGCCTGATACAGATTCCAGGAACCCAACCAAGGTCCTCTGCAAGAACAGTAAGCGCTCTTAACTCTTAACCACTGAATCGTCTCTCCAGTTCCTGACTGGAAAAAAATTTTAAAGAATACTTCATATGACATCATCCATTTCATAGACACATGGCACATACCTATCATCCCCATGCTCAGGAAGCTGAGGTAAGATGACCAACGAAGCTAGTCTTGGTTATGTAGGCAGATCCCAATTGCAAATTTTAAAAAAGTTCTGGAAATTGTTATTGAATATGTCAATGCTGTTGTAATGAATGCTTCTTCTAATTATGTGGTTATTAAATAAATAATTTTTTTAAAAAAGAACTTTTGGACAGGAAAGATGGCTCAGTGGTTAAGAGCACTAGCACTGGTCGCTCCTGCAGAGAACCTGGGTTCAGTTCCCAGAACCCACATGGCAGCTAACAACTGTCTATAACTCCAGTACCAGGAGATGCAATACCCTCTTCTGGTTTCTGTGGGCATTGCATGACACAGGTGTGCTTACATACATGCACACAAAATACACACATAAAATTATTTTTTTTAAAAAAGAACTTTTAAAAAAGAGTATTTCATAAGAACTATTATGTCAACTATGTGAAGTTTAGATTTCTGTCCGTAAGTAGTGTTTCGTTGGAACACAGCTCACATTTATTTACAATGTATTGTTTATGGCTGCTGTGGAAAGTTCATGGCCTGCGAAACCTAAAATATTTACTATATGGCCCTTCATGTAAACAATAATTATCCAAATCAGTAATAACATAGGCACTCGGTAACTATCCCCTTACTGACGGTTACAAGAGAGAAGCAATTTTTTTTTAACTTTTTGAAAATTTATTATTTTTATTTTATGCGTATGCCTGTATTGCCTGCATGTAGGCAAATGCACCCATGTCGTGCAATGCCCGCGGAGGTCACAAGAGGTTGTCAGATCCCCAGGGACTGAAGTTACAGACAGCTCCAGCTGCCATGTGGGTGCTAGGATTCAAACCCAGGTCTTCTGCAAGAACAGCCAGTGTTCTTAACTGCTGAGCCTTTTCTCCATCCCCGAGAAGCAAATTCTTAACGACTGACATTTGACAGTGGCTTTCCAAGTGCCATGCAGACAATTCAGGCACATCCCAATGTGGGTCTAACAGACTGTTTCATGCACTTCTGTTCCCAAACACACTTCTGCTCAAATACAGCATCAGCCCAAACATCATCGCTTCACTAGGCCTCCCTCAGTCTCTGAGACTTTCAGCTCCTTCCTCCCTGCCACAGAGACCATAACACTGCTCCGCCTCAGCACACAACAGTTACGGTTCTTGCTTCCTCTCTTCCTCCCACAGGATAGTCTGTCGGTTTCCATCAGCAAAGACTCTATCTTTGTGGGATGAATAAATCTGTGAACGAGTTATTTCAAAGCCAATAAAGCACGATGTACACCAACAGACATCCCACCAGAGGAAATATTTTACAATCTCAATGCCATTTAAAATGAGCTTGCTTTCTGGGCTATTTCAGCCAGAGAGTCAATGCGAATTGCTCAGGAATAGAGAACAGATCTGTCCCTAGGTTTGCATCTGGGTAAGGGGAAAAAATGCAGAGTACAATTCAGGGTCTGTTCTCATGCCTGCTCCGTCTACAGGGAAGATTCACATAGATCACTGTGTGATCGATAATATGCTTCTTGTCCTTGGACCTAAATAATGACCCCATCTTTCAATGCCAACACATGAAGAGCTTGATCAACAGAAATAAAACACTAAGTAATGGTGTTTGCCTAGAAGGCCTTTTTGTAGGACTTACAAACATCTAATAGAAGAGCACCGTCTTTGGGCACTGCACAGGCAGAATCTAGATTTTTTTAAGTCCCTACAAGGAAAGACCAGATTAATCAAGCAACATTAAACCGTGCTAATGAATCAATTGTTCTATTTAAGTTTTTGTTTATTCCCTTATTTCTTCATTCCATATTGAAATGTATAAATATCTCAAGTATAGCAGGATAGAAATACATTAATGAGAAAATCAGGGTAAGAGATTTGGAATAGCTAAGATAAAAGCAGAAAGTTTTTCTTATTTAAAAAAGGAAAATGGGCTGGAGAGATGACTCAGTAGTTAAGAACACTGCTTGCTCTTGAAGAGGACTCAGGTTCGAGTACAAGCATTTATTACTCCAGTACCAGGGGAATCCTCTGATCTCCTCAGACATTGCACAACATGGGTGCACTTACACACATGCAGGCGATACACCCATACACATAAAATAGAAATAATAAATAAAATACTTTTAAAAAGGAAAACGACCACAATACACAGCTTGCTACCTTCTAGGACTTGAAAATTGTCATGAACCAAGGAAGTATCAGTTGTTTTTTTTCCCAGGGACCCTGTACCTTGCTATCAGTTGAGTAGACAATGCCAGGGCCCTGGACCCGGAAACTAATGACACTCCAGTGGTTTCCTGGTTTTCTGCCCTTGTACTTTTTAGCTGAGTGTATTTTAGATTAACTGTATTGGAATATGAACATGGAGAGATGATGTATAGAGGATGTCACACAGTGCTAATTATGACAAACATCAGAACAGAGCTGGAATTTTCGTGAGGATATCTAGACAACCCAAGTTATCTGGCGACTCTCATTAGTGTTCATGGTATTGAACAATTGTTATTCTGTGCAATTCATTATGGACAGGGTACTTTTTTGACATCTTCTTTGAAGACAGCAGTAAGAGACTCCAGCATCTTTACAGTGCTGTGTGTCTAAGACAGAGTGTCCTTGAGCACTGGTGGGGAGACACTGCCTGCAACCTGGGATGTGTGGCCCTAGGTACCAGTAGTTAAAGTGGTGGCACTGTTATCTGTGCAAATCTTATTATGTAGTTACATGTTCTCTTCATAGTTTTATTTACATAGATGCAAATTTGTTCTGCTCCAAACCATTCAATTTTGCTTTTAGCAATTCACTTCTCTTTGTTCCCTGAATATAAACTTGAGCTCCAAACTCACAGTGGAGCCAGACTCTTACAAGTTATTCAGAGTGGGTGGTACACTCTTTGCAAGTCTGAAGGACGAGGGATGAATCAGATTCTTGGGAAGCCTGATTTTCAAATCTGCCTACTGTTGACAACAGAATAAATCATTCTTACAACTTATTGAAGACTAGAAGGAGCGAGGTTGCTTTCAAACGACTCCCATTCAGACAGCTATTTATCTAGCCTAAAGGAAATATGTATTCAGTGTATAGACGGATATGAGTAGTATTAACATGCAAAATTGACTTACTAGAGATTCCCAGAACCCAGATGTAAATGACTAAGCAGATGGAAGCCGGCGGTAGTGATAACATGGAAGTTTTAGTAACAGCGATGTGTGACATGCATCACCATCCATCGCTCAGTTCATCTGTTTAGTCTTTATAGAAACCGTGTTACTGGTACCACCAGGCCCTTTTTAGATATAAGAAGACTGAAGCTCGGTGAGTCTGCCTTAGATCGGGTCTCCTAGTATTAGAGCTCAGGGCAAGGACTCTCAGAAGGGTGATTTTTTAAAAAATGTAATCTCAGGTAAACATGTAAAGGCTCAAGAAAAGAGCCTGGTGTTTGCTTCAGTGTGATCCCACTGAGAGTCCTGGGTGTGAAAGGCACCTTGGAGATGTCCATTCTGATGCAGAGGATTTTTGCATGCTGATAACAGTCATCTGCAAGTTTCTTCAGCGGGAGAGTGTAATTGCTCAGGCATTTCCAGGAAGGCAGCTCAGCTGTCCTGGAGGGCATCTCTCAGAAGGGTCCAGAATTGTCACTAGCAGGAACTGAAAAGGGGTCCACGGAGCTGACAGAGGGCTCTAAGTAGGACACCAACACAACGTGCAATTCACTGGCCAAATGATGAAGCTTCTAAGTGACAGAGCCAGGATGTGAGCCCTAGCCTGAGTAAGCTCTTGTTCTTAACTCTACAGGCACAGATCAACCTATGTATTGTACCACTGGAGACGTCACACAATTTCAGTTAACCTTTCTTTTCAGGACCTCCTTGGTGCTCACAGCATAGCTCCTCCTTTTTTCAAACCATCTATGTTCTTCAGTAGCCAAGGAGCCCATCCTGACGGTGGATAAAGAGATTAATATTTAGTATTTGGCTTTGAACCCCTACAGGCTGATGAGGTACAGGATGTGATGCATTTTAACTACACCTCCTGGCCTGACCACGGCGTACCTCCAGCAAATGCAGCCGAAAGCATCCTGCAGTTCGTATACACGGTCCGACAGCAAGCAACCAAGAGCAGAGGCCCCATGGTTATCCACTGCAGGTACCTCATCCAGTGGTGCCCGTCTCGTTGCTGTCACAAAAATACCTGACTTAAGGGTACAGTCCATCATGACAGGGAAGTCATGGCGGTAAGCTCTTGAGGCAGCTGGTCATGTTGCATCCACAGTAAGAAGCAGAGAAAGATGCACATTGGTGATCATCTGGCTTTCTGTTTTGTGTGCAGTCCAGGACCCCAAACCATGGAATGGCGCCACTCACATTTAGGTTGGGTCTTTCCACCTCAGTTTACCAGGTCTAGAAACTTCCTCATAGACATGCCCAGAGCTTGTTTTCAGGGCAATTGTAGAGCCTGTCAAGTTGAGAATCAGTATTAACCACCACAAATACTATGGTTTTCTTTTAATAAATAGCCATCATTCCATAAATCTTGATCAGGTTTAATCATAAATGAAATATGATTTTTAAAAATCTGTGGTCACTTATGTTTATTGTATACACTGATAAACTTAGAGGTATAGGATGTGAAATAATTTTTCTTACTTGTGTTTTGGAGACAGGATCTTACTCTGTAGACCAAGCTGGCCTCACTCTTTATCCCAAGCTAGCCTCAAACTCATAGTGATTCTTCTCCTGCCTCAGTTTCCTAAGTGCTAAGATCAGAGGAACCTGCCATTATGCTTAGCTTGAGCTTTTCAAAAGCAAAGCAGAGAGAATCAAAGATTTACAGAAGTTCCTTCAACTACATTGTAGAGGAATTCAGATTCAAATCCATGCACATGGGTGTGCAAAGCTGTGTCCTTGAGAACTAACCATGTGATATCATCCTTGCTCAAGATTCCAAGTGGTTATAACTTGATATGTACAAGGTCACATTCTAAATAGTGTCTCATAACTCAAAACAATCTAAATAGACGTAAAAACAAGGAGAAAGCAGGAAAAATAAAAATATTCAGTATTTAAGATACATGTGTTTCCTGTGATTGTTCTCAAAATTGGTTCTAAAATTTTACACCGCTAAAATAAAATAGACTGAATTTCTCATAACATAAAACACAACTTATACTAATTCCTTATGGGAAATGTTACCTTTGAATGTACACTTTCCTGCCTACAAGTGAGCACAGTTACATCAAAATTCATCCCTGTAACAAAATGTTATAAAACTGTTCTGTAAACTCAAAAGATTAGGAGACATGCATGCCTTGGGGTTCATAACAGAGGAGGTGAGGGTCAAGATGTTGAGGGCGCCATCATCAGCCATGCCCTGGAGCAAATAAATCTATAACCGGAGATCTAGCGCCTCATCCTTTGTGAGTTAGAATGATGATGCTGTTACTGTATTATGTGTGTATGTGGTAATGTGTGTATGCTGTGTGCTTGCATATGCTATGTGTATGTATGGTGTGCATGTGTGGTGTGTATATGTGTGTGATGTATGTGTGGTATGGGTACAGGTGTGTATATGTGGTGTGTGTGTGATACATATGGTATGTATGTGTGTGTGCATGTTTACATGTTCCTAAGGGAAAATGCTTTGTAAACTAAGTTCCTATTTAGGGAAAAGATCATAGACTGTCGTCAACCCACCTAAGACTCTCACGATTTCAAAGCTATGCTCTCGCAGATGAGCTTATTCTCAAAACAGTTCTTTGCAAGAGCTGAAAATTAGGCTGTTCTCATCTGTGGGGTCAAACTCAAGCATTCCTTTCACAGCCATCGGCAGGTGCCATTCTAGATGTGACTTTACAGGAGTACACTTGGTGGCAGATCACTTTATCTGTGAAGTCCCAGAAGGGAAGAATTTTCTAATAGAAAAAGCAAGCTGGACTCTGAACTCAAGGTTTTTAGTGATGGATTTTTTTTTTTTCTTCTTGTAAATTCCACATCTAATTAGCTTCAACTTTCCCTTTACCCAAAATGTCACCATGATTTAGAGTTTGGAGCCCCTTGGATCTATGGATGGTTAAAAGAAGAGAGGGGCTGATGTTAACATGCAGCAATATGGACTATGTAGAGAGTTGGCTGGCCAGTGTCAGTCCACTTTTATCCACATTCTGAGCATTGGGATTCAGGAACTAGATGTGCCTGGGTTCAAGTATTTGATTTGACATTAAGGCAGTTATCTAAAAGATCTCTGGGAGATCCAGGCAGGGTTGGGGTTCACTGGGGAAGCATGTGTGCCGTAGGGCAGTCTGAGATGGTGAATTGAATGTGTGCAAGAGCCCCAGAACTGGAGTTAGGCGGTGGGCATGTCAACTAGACTTTTGAGCTGGGTGTGAGGAATGCACTCTAAGGATGTCCATGAGATTGGGAACTGTTGGTATACATCAGCCCCTCCAGGGCAGATGGACCATCTCCTCAGAGTGTACATTGAGAGGGTCTTTACTTTTTTCCCCAAACAGAAATCCAGTGGCAGATGTAGTGCAAACCCTTATCTCTTGAAAGGAGGGGACAATCAGAAATATGACACCTGAAGAAACAGCCACCACCACTGCATTCTTAAGAGTCCACTAAGCAGAAAACAGTGGGAGGAGATTAGCTTTCCTTTCAGGGTGCCCCCTGTAGACTTTAGACGTCCATCCCCCTTTGACTTGCAACAGTACAGAAGCCCTGTATGAGTCATGCGTGCTCTGAACTTTCTTTTGCAGTGCGGGCGTGGGACGGACAGGAACCTTTATTGCCCTGGACAGGCTCTTGCAGCACATTCGAGATCATGAATTTGTGGACATCTTAGGACTTGTGTCAGAAATGAGGTCATACCGGATGTCAATGGTACAAACAGAGGTAAGAACTGAATCAATATGTATGTTTTAATTTGCCCTTGACTGAAAACTTCCTGTAATTCAGCTTCAGGTTTTAATATAGTTAAATTTTTAACTCTTTTTTTTCTTTTGCTTCTACATTTTCCGTTTTCTTACTGTCTATGTGCCAAGCTATTTCCCAAAAAAAATAGATATTGGCCTGTAGATATCCATTCTGTATCTAGTGATTACACCTGTGCTGGCTTCACCCACTTTTTAAGGATACAGAGCTCATGGAGTGAAACCATATTGCACAGAGTGGAGTTTGTTGAAGGGGGAGCCAAGCTGGAGAAGGGCCACCCAAGGAGACTGTGGAACAGATGTGATTCAATTTATACTGGAGATGATTTAACTGATTCAATAAGATTGTCATTCGTTAGTTTTCCCTCCGTGTGACTCTGCCCAGATTCTCTCTTTTTTTTTTTTTTCTGGTCCCAGCAGACCTTGAACCTGCTGTGTAGACCAGACTGACCTCACACAGACCCACCTGCCTCTGCCTCCCAAGTGTTGGGATCAAAGGTATATAGCACTACACCTGGCCCAGACTTTGTGGATTCTGAATTCTCTTGATTTTAAGGATCTGCAGCCCCCAGCGCTGCCCCATTCTCTTAAACGAGTGGATGTGTTCTATTAGCATGGTACAGCCCCAGAATATCCACCAGTGTTCCTTCTGCCTCCTTCTCCCTCAAGCGCTTCCTTCCCTTGAAGCCTTGGAATGTAGCCAGCCTGGAGGGACAGCTCAGGTTCCTCAGGTCCTGGTGAAGACAGCATTGTGCTGCCCCCAATCAACAGCAGGATGCAGCTGTGTGGGCTCCAAAACCAAAGCACAGTGGTTTCTTTAGGATCCAAGTCACCCTGCCATAAGGGAACTTTCTGGCCTCACTGGCACAACTGATCTTTTCCTGAAAAAGTGTGTGGGAGAAGGAAGCTAGAAGAACACAGCCTGGCCTGGCCTTTCTTACCAAGAGAAGTAAGTCCTACCCAGCACCACTAGGTGTCAGTATAACTCAAATAGCCGGAGGCAGAGGGACTCCTCTCTGGCTCAGAATGATTTCCCTTCCCCTTGTTTACTTTTATTTCGTTTTATCTTCCAATCCCATCTTGAGCAAGGCTTGGCAAAGCCATTCCAATATATTTATTTCTGAGCTACACTCAGGTCACACTAGTTTGGAGAGAGTGACCCACTAACCTTCAGAAGTCTCAATGATAGTTAAGCAAATCCTAGGAGGGGCACTGTCCCATCAGAGAAACTTCCTTTTACAGTAGCAGGCAATGGTACAGAGACCCACAACTGGGCAGCGTGCAAAGAATAAGAGAACGCAGAGTGACCAGCCCTAAACGGGACATCTATGTCACACCCTGTCCTCCCAAGGCTGAGGGGTCAGCTCAGAAGAAGGGACAGAATGAGCCAAAAGTGATAGATGACGACAGAGAAACAAGTTGTTTCCCAGACACGAGGCCACTGTGCATAGGAAGTCGCAATGGCTGTGACAGCTTGCCCAGGGAGGAGTGGAGAGATGGTTACAGAGTCCCATACCAGTCTGAGGAGCTATTGGCAATAATGACTGCTGGGGAAGGGGGAGTCCATTTTCTTCAGAGACGCAGGACATGAGAGGCTACCCATGCTCCAGTAGGTGATCCTAAAGCCATACATGTATAGACAGCAGTGCAACATGGGTGCACTTACACACATGCAGGTAATACACTCATACAAAGAACAAGAAATTGGGAGAGAAAAGTAGTGGGGGATGGAGAGGAATTCCGGAGAGTGAACGGGGTGGTGATTCTGATCAAAACACATTATATGTGTGTATGAAATTCTCAAATAATAAAATAGGAGAAAAAGAAAAGCAAGTCCTTCGTTTTACTCGCCTTTTCAACTACTCAGTCCGCGTGGATCCAGTCTGTTAACACACTGCCCCGAGGGCTGGCACATCACCTTGTAATGAGCCTAAAAAGTTTCGTTCCCAGAGTAGCTCACGATCTAGTGATTAAATAGTGCTTTAGCAATCGGTCCAAGATTTTGACTTTAAACTTCAATAAACATATGTCCTAAAATATAATAAAAACCTTCCTCATTATATATAAAAAATATATTAAAAAATGTTCCTATGTTATATAAAAATCCCCATACTTCAAAGGACTACATCTTATTTTAAGTATCTTGTGTTTGATGAATTGTCTGTCCCACTTCCTTAATTTATACCTGTTATACCTTTATAGACGTTGATTACAGGCTGCTCGCTTTTGATTTTTTTCCTGACTAGGGAATCTTAATCCCTTTTTAAAAACTACCTTCACACGTGTGGACTTTCCATCTCGTTCCCAGCCCCACTCTGCCTTGTCAGCCAACAGACCCGGCACCTTGGAACGTCCCACGCAGCCAACATCGGGGTTTTTTCTCTCTTTTTGGGCTCAGAGTTTCATTCTGTAGCTTCCTTGTTTACAGCCTGCATTTCAGGTTGACACCTCCACAGAAACAGTCTTTCGATGTTGCCTGGAGGAACTTGCTGGAGAATTCAAAGTCATGGAAAAGGCACAGGTCTCAGCTCACAGCTCTTTCCAGCTACTCCAACTCCACCCGAACTCCCCCAGATCTAGTGACGGACACGTTTCAATTCCAGTTCTTTATTTATATCCATTTTGTTGGTTCTGAGTAGAACATCTTGTTCATTTTTACCTTTATTTTTCCTTATTTCTATGTTCTACCTGGTTCAACGTCTTTTTTCCAATACAATTTGACTTATCTGACGTGCTCCTTCAACCCACTCACATTCAGATCCTGCCGCCTGCTAATTTACTTAGTTAATAAGTGAAGAACAAAGCAGAGAATGGTCCTTGCACTTGTCAAGCAGGAATATCAAGAGGATAAACAATCAGTCTCCAGTTGTGTTCTGGTCTTCTTCGTCTAAATCAACCCATGGATTAAACAGCATATTCTTCATCTTTGCCACTAATTTTCCACGTCACCTGCTGCCTTGATCCCATCACCACTCTAGACCAAACTGGCAAACGTGACTTATTCTAGCAGCCATGTCCTCAGGGGCCTGTCTTGGGTTCCTCACAACATGCTGTGGGCAATGTGTTTGTCCTGTGCTCACTGTATCTCACCTAATCAGCTACACTTCAGAGCTCCCCCGCACACTAGCACCACTAATTTTCCACGTCACCTGCTGCCTTGATCCCATCACCACTCTAGACCAAACTGGCAAACGTGACTTATTCTAGCAGCCATGTCCTCAGGGGCCTGTCTTGGGTTCCTCACAACATGCTGTGGGCAATGTGTTTGTCCTGTGCTCACTGTATCTCACCTAATCAGCTACACTTCAGAGCTCCCCCGCACACTAGCAGAGGGACAGTTAAACAATGCCAGACCCTGGAGAAGGCCAGAGCCTCAGCTTTAGCACTTCAAAAGTCAGGGTGCCCCTCGAGGCTCTCATTTCTCATCTCTAAAATGTGATTGACAATGCTCGCACTGTGCTGAAAAATGCATTGTGTCAGACGACAAAATCCACATAAGTGCTTCAGAACAATACTGAGCAGCTTATAGGCGGCCTTTGTCTCTCTGGGGCTCT